GAAATAGAAACAAAGTCAACACGATACAAACTCATTTAGCCCAGACAAATACCATCTTTCTTCTAACAAATATCAGCAAAAGGAAGAAGAATATCTGCAAGAGACAATAAGATATCCGCTAGAACCAGACGAATATCCTAAAGACCCAAACGAATATCACATAGAAACAAACTCAACGCAATACAAAGTGATGATAGGAAATACAAATTCATTTCTTCACGGTCTCCTCGGTGTTATCTTCATCATCCGACTCTGAAAAACCGGGGAACATTACTTCGTCCCAATCCATGTGAAAACCACACCCGTTATCATTGTCGTACTCGTACATCCAACATCGACTCCATCAACAGCAAGTCGTTTGGCGGCTCTCCAACCATGGTAATAGAGTACAACACCATCATATTCGAACTCATCCACCAATCCCCGGCGCACTGGTTTAGGAGTCTCTCCAGACATGGATTTTGCTTTGGAAGAGAAGTGAAGAAGAAACTGAGAGAGGAGGATAGCCGATTTGGGTTTGTGTATGATTTGTCTTAAATAGACAAATGCAAAAAAGGTCACATGAGCACAGTAACAAAAAAGATCACATGAGTACATTAACAAAAAAGGTCACATATGAATAGTGAAATAAGTAGTCATTGGTACAATTGTACATGCATTGAAAATACTGATATCCAGGAAGCCCAGACTAATATCTGTACTATATTGAGTGCATATCAAGTTTGCCCAGACAAGTATCCTTTACCAGTGGATTAATATCCACTGTATTACAAAAACGTATCCTGAATCACTTGTTAATATCATATCACAATAGACCACTCTCGAACCTCCCTACATTCTATACATAAATATCCAGGAAGCCCAGACCTATATCTGTACAAAATAGAGTGCATATCAAGTTTGTCCAGACAAGTATCCTTTACAAGTGGATTAATATCCACTTCTATACAAAAACGTATCCTGGAATCACTTGTCAATATCATATCAAAATAGACCACTCTCGAACCTCCCTACATTCTATTCATAACCATTGAGCAATATTATCATTCAAATAACTAATATGGTCATCCGGTTGAGTATTGTTGTCCGGCGTGACCACTTCAACTGATTTCATTCTCTTCTTATAGACACGTTTCTTTCGACGGCGTTCTTTTTCATTGGTAGACTTATAACGTTCCTTACCTTGGCTCCTTGGATTACTCTTCTTCTTCAAAGTCAGCCCAGTTATCGGTACATTCCGTCCTACAATGGTAGAGAATTTAGTAAATGCAATGATATTAAACTCTAAGAATTTACAAATGATATTAGTGAATATATTTACTGTCCTCGCTAGTAATAGTCTTTGACAATGCCTTGTTTGCCTCATTGCACAATTTCTTGATTACTCCCATCCACTTATTGTAGTCCTTCTCATCGGCCATCGACATGTTCGTTGCTAGCTGATTCAACATTGCAGTGGTTTCTCGGTACCGCATTGCTATATCTTTTCCCGCATCATTCTCACTAGAAGCTGAAGGACCAACAGAACCATCGACATCAACAACCTCTTTCTTTCTCGCCTCCAACGTCCATCGCTTGAGTATGTAATGATCTGGAACACTTCTCATACTAGCTTCCCCAAAATCTCCAAGAAGCTGCATCACCTTAATCATGTGGCGGCATAACACTCTGAAAGTTCTGAACATTCTGAATTCGCATACCAATGTCCTCGTAGAAATATCGACGAGAACGACATGCTCATCACTTCGCTCACCATCCTCTATCATATATGTGCGGTAGCCAATCATGCCATCATCCCTAGTATCCGAGAGCGTCTCCATTATATATTTTTTAGTTTTCAAATACTGCTGCTGTATCCGATTGAAGATGTTAGAAGTAAAGATCTTTGCCGCATGTTTTAGGATCGGTCTGTGCTCCAACATTATATAAGGAACCAATTGTTTCCCACTGTAGTCTGAATCACTCTCCTTGCGTCTTTTTTTAGCAACCAAACTACATTTAGAAAGCAAGAGAAAAGAGATTAGTGCCAAGACTAATATCCACTCACAATAGTACTATTATCAGATCAACACAAAATAATATTTAACAAGAGCATATTAATATCCATATGACAATGAAAAATATCCATAACGGACAAGCTAATATCACAGAAAGGCAAAGATATATATTGCGTACGTACCTGCTAAAATGAATGAAAAACATGTCCAAATCATGCTTCGGTTTCAAGAAACGTCGCACTTGTGCATTGCACGACTCGCTGGCATGCATAGTCAACATCCCGGCTGTGAATTGATCTCTCAACCATAAGGAACACCATTGTTGGCAAAATTTCTTCAAATATTCCAACCATGGGTGACCGTCCGCAATTTCGCTATTAGGGAAACAATCAGCAACCATTGTGCTCCATGCCATGTCGAACTCTCTCTCACTGTCGACGTCATAGAAAATATAAGAAAGATGAGTTTGGAACTTCTTCCAAAATGCCTTGTCTTTAATAATATGCTTCTTGGCATTCATGAGGATGTGCTAAGTACAGAGAGCATGAAACGTTTTAGGCCACTCCTTTCTAAGGGCAGCTGCCATGGCGGCGTCCTGATCAGTAAAAATAGTGACTGGGAGCTTCTTCTTCATGCACCGACTAAATGCAACAAACAACCATTCAAAAGACGGTGTAGTCTCATCATACATCAAACAAGCACCAAACACACAAGTTTGACGGTGGTGATTGAAACCTACAAACATCCCCGCACAAGACAACTATTAATGACAACAAATGTCAACAAATATCTGTAAAGCTCTGACTAGTATCTCATTATGACAGACAAATATCCATCAAGTTACAAAAGCATATCCTGTCATCACATGTTAATATCGGATCACAACAGATGACTCTCGAACCACCCTACATTCTATTCATAACCATTTCTATTTCATGGGCCTTCGGCCCATGGGCCCTCGGCGGGCAGCCCTAACTAAGGTTGCAAGCCTTATGTGTTAGGACTTGCTAGTGTGCCAACACATGTCAACAAATATCTGTAAAGCCCAGACTAATATACCTTAAAGACAAACTAGTATCCTAACAGTTACAAAAGCATATCCTGTCATCACATGTCAATATCAGATCACAACAGACCACTCTCGAACCACCTTACATTCTATTCATAACCATTTCTGTAACATACGTACAAACATCCATGCATAAGACAACTATTAATGACAATGTATAACCAAACGAGTGTTGAAAAAACATCTTCTTCGTTAGGTAGTTCACGTACCCAGTGGACGGAAGTATTTATTGGTTTGGAAGGTGGTATCAAAGGAGACCGAATCACCAAAAAGCGCATAATCTTCACGCATCCTACTGTCCGCCCAAAAGATATTAGCAACTTTCTCCTCGCAATCTACCTCTACAACATAAAAGAAGCCAGGATGCTTTTCTTTTTGGTCCTCAAAGTAGTCAAGCAAATAAGTCGCTTCGCCACGAGCCATATTCCTTTGCCTTTTACTGTTCAAGTGGTTCTTCTGATCGGATTTGGTAAATCTCAGATTTTGATAGCCACCAGCACAGTCAGCCAATAATTGATACGATGCACTAAGACTCATCCCGGCATCGCGATTAGCTTCGGCCATCTTTTTCTGAGGATCACTCATGCACTTGTTGGACTTGTGCAAGTGCATATGCTCGGTAGAGTGCAAATCATGATTGTGGGCTTCTACGAATTCATACACCACAAATCCGTCCCTAGTAGCATCCCATCGAAAACGAACAAGCGGGACATCCATCCCTAACTCGAGCCCTCTTTCTTTTAGGGCGCCTTCTCTCCACAACTTTGTCTTCCGGCTGTCTCTGTTCGTCCACATTGACATTTACTTCGCTAGTGCTTGTCCAACCTTCCTTATTACAAAAGTAATAAAGGTACAAATAATTTTTCTCCACCACTCCATTAGAATTCTTCCTGTTTTTTAGGTGTTCCCCATCTATTCGAACACCAAACCCTTTTTTGTGAGCATAGCGTTTATAGAAATCCAAGCACTCATCCTTAGTGCGATAAAAGATGTTCTTCCTCGCTTCCTCATCTTCTAGGTCCAACGTGTTATGAGCTGCGAGTTAATGGTATGAGACATGTTATTATCCATATTGTCCAATAAACAAATGAAATATTACCCACAAACTGTTAGAGTACATAAGCTTCAACAAATATCCAGTCTTTAAGAAATAATCTCCATAAGTACCAGACTAGTATCAAACAGGGGTATTAAACAGTAGGTTACACACCACGTCCAACATGTCCAGACTAATATCAAACATCTAAGTCGGTCGTATCCATGAACCCCGTATCAGTATCAGTACCCCATCAACCTTTATTTTCTTCTTCTTCTTCTTCTTCTTCTTCTTCTTCTTCTTCTTCTTCTTCTTCATCGACGGTAGGAGCACCACCCGAATCTTCATCAACAAACTCATATGATGTAGTAGGATAGGGTTCTTCTTCACTATTTTGGATGATCGACTTATCCTTCTTCATTGGAGAAGCTCGTTGATCATCCAACTCACCATTCTCGTCGATCAGCATCCTAGATCGTGGACAAGGCTCGCCGGAAAGGAAAAGACGGTGGCCGGAATTACTGTTCGGTTGGTGGCGGCATCGTTTCTTCCCGCTGCTGGTGACGGAAAAGGGAGAATTACGAAGAGAGAGAGAGTTGGGTGGTTGGGTAATAAATGGTTTCTGATATCTTATTTTTTAGTTTTCTATTTGCCAATTTAATCACACATCCTGACCCACTTTTTTCATTTACCTTTTCCCGCCCAAACCCCCTAGCGGGCCCACTTTTCCCATTTGCCTGCTCCCGCCCAAAACAACCCCTTCCTTCTCGGCCCATCAGCAACCAATTAATAAGCCCGATATTCTCTACCCTTGGATCACAGCATTTGGGACGTGGCGTAAATCCGGCCCGTGTTAGTATCTGCTAACAAAAACGCTTGATAGCAGTCTAACTTTTGTATTCCCCCGAGAGCTGCGAATTCAAACTTTCAATCATATGGTTAACGCGCGATCGACCAGTCGATTCAGTGTGTTCGACTTCAGCGAGGAGGACGAGTTGCCGGAGCAGGCGTCCAAGATGTTGATCGGCAGAGTCCGTAACCGTAAGCGACCCAAGCGTGTCGCTTCTCCGATCACCAAATACAAGTTTCTGGAGTGCTGTAAGTCCTTATAATTTTAGTAATTTTTATCGGGTTCGCGGAGAATAATTGTTAGTTTCTTGTAGTTGGTGCTGTGGGAATGGGGTGGGGATATACATTAGCTTCGAAATTTCGAAGAAATTGTGTGGTTTTCTTTCAATGGCGGGAAGAGCTCGTAGAGTCTTTCTGATGTCTTGGGCTAACTATGTGCGAGATTCAATGAAGTTTCGGCGCCATGTTTTGGCCAAAGCTGATGATCAGTGAAACCATTTCTCGTGGTCATGAAATCATTTTGTGGGACAAATATTTACACTTCTGATAACTGGTATTGATTTGCCCCAATTTCTGGTTCTTTGGAAGGGTTTATAAATATGAGGAAACAATATGGAAAAGTGAGATTGCCCTTGAATTGCAGCTGAGCTCATCTGTTACATCTGTAGTACCTGTAACATTCTTATGGTTTTCTCTCATGTATCCGGCGTTTTGATACTTGAAAGAAACTAAATATATGTGTGTGTAGTTATGGGACGTAAGGGGTCTGCTGATGTTGCTGATAAGGGGAGTCTTCAAAACAAAAACCATGCTGACCCTATCAATGTCGATGATGACCCTGTCAGTACTTGTTCTGAAGGTAAAGGGACTCTGTGGGACGTATTCTCTTATCTCAAATCATATGTCAAAATTCAGTTTTCCTTTACAGTTAGAGATGGTGTCAATGCTCTATCTATGCATCTGGATTTCTCTGCTGGAGCAACAGGTATTGGTGTTAGAGATCCAGGCTATCATCAGGTGTCTGTTGTTTCATGCCTGCCACAGAGAGATGGTCCTGCAAAAGGGAGAGCACCTTTTTCAGAATGCACTGAGTTGTCAAGTGATTCAGACAATGAGGTTAGCGATTTTATGATATTGGTAATTGATGTAACAAATACATATGTGAAATGATGTGTGGTAATGTGGAATCAAACTTACTGCAGAGAAATGAAGCTGCTACGAGTTTTGATGATGACTATCCAATTGAAATGAGCCGGCCACTAGCTTCTGTTTCTACTTCAACGGAGAAGGAAGGTCTCTCCCTTGCACTTCTTCAGATTCAGATTGACATCTTGTGGTTTCTTAATCTTATTTCAGGCCTTTTCTTCTATCAGATCCATTGGAGAAGCAAGCTGCAGCGCTCGGTTCTGTTGGACACAAAATTGTAAGCAGTATACCATGTTTGATTCATTCCCAAAGATTTAGGATATTGAGTGCTTGTTAGCATCCTTGACCTATTATCATCATTTCATGCATCCCTGATCTCAGTTCACTCTGTTTCAAGTTGGAATTAAGAATTAGAATTTTTTTTCTCGTTCTTGCTTATAGTTTCATGTAAGTTGCGTATGTTCATCTCCTGCTATGCTTTTATGTGTGCTGCATCAACAAGAAAAAAGACGAAGATGGTTCATTTGGGCACATCTGCTGGTCCACCTCTCAATTACTTGCGTCGAGGTAGGCATTTATCTTTTTTTACATTCATTCATTACTCTTTTCCCACAGGAAGCTGATAAGGTTTAACTGTATAGTAAGTTTTGGACATTGTCAAGTTGGCTAGTTGTATTTTGTGTGTATAGTGTAGCGTCTAATCAACTCCCCCTTGTCACCATTGCAAGCTTGAGTTGTTGCATTCTCTTATACGTTTTTCTGCTTTTTTTTTTTGGATTAGGGGGTTTCTATTGTTATTTGGTGTCTTTTTTTATAATTCTATTGTGCTCACCATATGACATTGCCTTGTCCGATTTCAAAACTAACCATGGTTTTATTTGATTTGTTTAGTCTTGAGCTTGATGGGAATCATAAAGAGGTCGTTTATCCAAAAGACGATCCTGATGCTGTTCTAATTACTACACGAGACTTGGAGCTTCTGCAGCCTGCAACTTTTATCAATGACACTATTATTGACTTCTATGTTAAGTAGGTGTTAGTTCCTGCGTATGGTTTTCATAGACGTTTAGTTTTCTGTTTGTTCGTGGCCTTATTTTCACACTGGTAATTCTTTTACTCATATTGTTGCTTAAAAAGCACATTAGTCAAAAGGTTGGTTCCATTCTCAGGTACTTAGTGAAGACTAAAATTCAACCTGAAGACCATAACCGGTTCCACTTCTTCAATAGCTTTTACTTCCGGAAGCTTGCTGATCTAGACAAAGACATGACTAGCGTAGGTGAAGGCAGGGCAGCATTTCAACGTGTTCATAAGTGGACAAAGAAAGTTACTCTCTTTGAGAAGGAATACATTTTCATACCTGTAAACTATAGGTCAAGAATTTCACTATTTTACCCCCTCTTTTTGGTCTGTGCATAGTGAATAGACACATGAATTGGTTTTTAATATTAATGTTATCAATTTTTTATTTCAGCCTCCACTGGAGTTTGATCGTGATCTGTCATCCGGGTGAAGTGGTTCTTTCGACAGGCATAGCCCCTTTACAAATTTGGTTCTTGTAAAAAAAAAAAGGAATCACTGTTCAATCAATTAACTTTTCCCTAACTATATTTTAGATGATGTAAAGGAGAGGTCAGTCAAGCTACCATGCATTTTGCACATGGACTCTATCCAAGGAAGTCATAGGGGCCTCAAGAATCTCTTCCAGAGGTAATATTGATCACTGCTACATTCTAATATCTAGTCCTATGAAATGCGAAGTTAAACTTTTCTGAAACGTCAACATCATCATGATCGTTGAAGTCGCATTAGTTTATTTTTTTGCCACAGCTACTTGCTGGAGGAGTGGAAAGCGAGGCATCAGGATATAGTGGATGATGTATCTTCCAAGTTCTTAAATATGAGTTTTATCGAACTTGAGGTGTTGTCCCACTGTCTGAACTCTTGTTATTTTATTTTTTTCCTTCTTATTCTGAGCTTCTAACTGATGCTTATCCGAGTTTCTTAAGTTTAAACTATTTACTTTTCTTTTTATGATTGTGGATCCTAAGGTTAGAACTTAAGATACAGTGGATATTAGCATCCTCCACCTCCAGTTACTAGGCCAACTCTCGGTGTTTAAATTGTTACCTTTTACTTATAGGGATTGCTACTAACTTTATATATCGACCTTTGCAGCTGCCACAGCAAGCCAATTCATTTGACTGTGGCCTGTTCTTGCTCCATTATTTGGAACTTTTTATTGAGGATGTTCCTGCAAACTTCAACCCCTTCGACCTTTCGAAGTTCTCAAATTTTGTAAGTGAAGCCGTTCCATTTTGGTTTCTAATTGTGTAGCATGACTTTTGAAGCATAATCAGTCTACTTTTGAAGCATAAGCACTAAGCAGTTCCATTTTTGGTTTCATATTCATATGCATGTGAATGTACCATTGGATTATTGGACACCAACAATGGACAGTTAAAATTGATTCATTGTTGATTTAATCACATAAGGACGGTCAAAATTGATTCATTGAAGATGTATTCACAACACACTTGAATTATTCACATTGGTTGATACAAAAAACATATAATAATAATAATAATAATAAACAAAAAATAATATTAAAAAGATTAAAGGGGACATATGCATGTGTATATGAGGGTCTCATATGCATGGTAACCATATTTAGTTATTTACACGAATACTGAGCTCGTAGAGAAAGCTCGATGACATTTTTTCTTTCTCAATTGTTTATTAACTTTCAATCTTTCCTTTATTTGATGAGAAAATCCAATATAGTAAAGGCATGTAGTGCCATTGTAGAATTTCCTATTAGCATGCGATGAACCATCACCAGTTGTGGGCTGTCTGGAAATGGTTTTCAGATTGGGTTTGTTGATGTTGTATCACGCTGAACAATTGTGGCTTAATTGATCCTGCTTTCATTTTTTCGTATCATCCAAAATTTTGTCTCAGTTATGTCGATGCATAAAATACAATCTATTTCTGTATTATATATGTTGATCGCCTAATCATATTTGTGATTCATTTGCCCATACATATAACAAAGCTGCAAAACTTACCACTTTTGTAGCTGAAGAAAAATTGGTTTCCACCAGATGAAGCATCATTGAAACGGATACGTATCCAGAAGCTAATCTCTGGAGTTCTTTTGCATCACCCTGAGGGAACTCCATTGGTGGACTACATGAAGAAGTATCCATCTTCCCAAATTTGCAGTAATTCACGTGAGAAAGTAATTGAGGTGGCGATTCTTCAGGAGCAATGCAGTTCACCGAAAACATGTCCAATTTCTGCATCAAGATCTAATATTGAACCTCGGATTGGGCATTCACCCCCAGCCACATCCCACAGCGCTTTCCATGACCGGATGGGAGAAGCAGGGATGGACTTTTTGGAGTTGTCTATAGCATACACGAATTCAAAGTCATTACTATATGACAAAATACACCAGCAAAAACAGACCCATCAATCAACCAACCTGTCACCGATGAAGGTAACCGTCCCCTATATTGCTAAACCTCTCATGAACTTTGATGACTTGTAAGACATCGTTCTTAAAATATGGTTGTGGGAAGAAATGGGACAAAATGGCCACGATAACTGAGCTCCTGCGTATTTGTCTGTTAAAACAGGAAGTTGAAGAAGTCTGCGACTCGTTTTCTGGATCAGAAGACAAGTTGGGAAATGGTGGATCTCCGGGCACGCCTTCTTTCATCATCAGAGAGTTTACATTATCTCCAGAAGCACCTAGGAAACAAAAACATGTGCAGGCAGATGAACTTTCCAACGACTGCAGTTCTGGTTCCCAGAAATCTTCAGAGATTGGGGTGGATGAGCTTGGTGCTTATGTTATTGAAGATTCGGAAAATAGAAACTCTTTGCAGGATGGTGAAGAATTTTGCTCTGAGACCAGAAAGGAAGTGGACGAGGGGCTTCAGACCTATGTTATTGAAGACTCTGAAGATAGAAACTCATTGCAGGACCGAGAAGTGGTAGAGGACTCCATCTCCTCCGTCCATGATGGTGGCAGTGTAGCTGCCCCATTGTGTGACCATTCCACAGATAATGGTGATGTCAGTTCACGTATCTGAGATAACAACGGATGCCATTGAGTAGCCTTGAGGCATTTTATGTTTCAGTATCTCTGTGAATATTATTAGGGCAGCGATTGCTTCGTGTATGCGAAACTGACAATACTGCATTTGGAAAGGCTTCATGGTAAGAGTAGAATAGAAGATGTATAAAATTAGAGAAAAAATATGAGAAATGTTTTGGCCCAAAGTAGAGGCAGGCACAACAACAGTGTTTTGTCCAATTGTTGGTTGTTACAGGGATCCAATATATGGTTCAAAAGTAGAGGCACACAGTTGTTTGCGTTCAATCATCCTCTTTTTCCTTGGACGAAGTTGCGTTTGGCTTCTGAGAAAATTTCTTCCACCTCTGCTTGTTCTTTTCCACCGCATTTGTGTTTTGTGAAAACCTCGTGAGTCCTTCCCTCAGTGCTCCAAGATTCACCCCGTTCCCCACTAGAATGCTTGTTACTCCCATTTTTGAGACCTGACATGTTAACAACCCAAACTTATAAGGTAAGCATTATCACACAACCACCATCATATTCGTATCAGCATGAATAAAGCTCCAAGAGTTTCTTTCAGCTACCGTATTAATATTCCTATCCTCATCGTCGAAGAATAGCATTGAGTTGAACGGTACACTAGTCCTCGAATTGATCTTCTGGAAATGTTCTGTTTTGTGTGTCCAGCTGGAAAAGATTTCCTGGGTAAACAGAGACATGCATTCGTTCAAAATAATGAAGCACAACAGTAGCAAGTAGACCTTTCTGATGGGTTAACTCATACAAAGGACAACCAGCAGCAGCAGCTACCCTTTTGTAAGAAGAAATATAACACTTGTATCTGTAGGCCACTGAATCATTTGCCGAGGGGAGTTGGATTCCCTACAGACAGCATGTGCAGTAGAGGACAATTACTCCATAAAAATTGTTGTGCTGAAAGGCAGCTCTTAGAATATTCTCTAGTAAGCGAGCGACGATGCTACAATTACAATTACAAACACAAAATAATACTACTTCCACTAGTCTAGATGCCTTCACGGATATCACCATGCTATAGCCCTGAAATGAGGGTTCTCTTATTGGCAGCAACTGACTATCAAGAGAAGGGGCAAAACTATCCATACATAGTGCACTTCTTGAAGGCCCCTCCTTTCGTGTTCCATTACGGACCCACAAATTAAGAACCCAGGAGACACAAATCTATCAAGCACTCAAAGATGTAAACAAAATTAAACGAGAACCGGAAGGTGGAATGCAACCCCTACCCCTATAGAACAAAACCCAGAAAAAGGAGGATGTGACGTTGATTTTTATCACCTGCGCTACAAACATGGACTTGATGTTGAGTTTGTCAAGAAACGTGGTGGCAATATCAGGGGTTGGTGACCTGGATGCAATAGCCATATCAACCCCCTTGTCCTTCAGGGCGTACAATATGCCTTTGGCGTGAGGATACAAAGATGGCATTTCCCTTTTGGAGCGACATTCACTGCATAAATGAGAAGCACGGCGATAAGGCGGCAATGGAGGGATTATGCATACCGCCATATCATGTAAGAACTAACACATATTGGAGAGCCAGAAAGAAACATAAATCATTCATTCATTTCTTCAAGGTTTTCTTGAACAACTGCCAAGTCAAAAAGCAAGCACAAAGAAATATTTGCGTATCTGCGGAGGAACATCCCAGCAATATCACTCCATGAGCAGATATAACCTAACTAGGAATCATCGTAATGCCTCCATGGATAAAGGATCCATCTATCAAGAGAACACAAAAGAAAGAGGCAATTGGGTACCAGTAGAAAGGCCAGAGAGTGTAGTCGAGATCAAAGACGACTAATCTGGGCAGAACCTGAAACATCCCAATTATCTGCATCGCCTCACTTTTCACCTTCTCGTCTGCCATCCTTTCACCTCGCTCGAATTTTTTTTTTTTTTTTTTTTTGTGGTTGGCTAAAAAACTTGAGTTCCGAGTTCCGACTGGAATGCAAAGGAAGAGATTATTGGACAATCAATAGTTCCCCTAAGACCCTAATTATCAAGGGGTGACTTGGCAGTTGGCACCAGGGTTCTGAAAACCGATTATTGGGCAGCTGAACGAATTTGGGTGGTCGGCATCCATTCTCATGCGACTCCGCTTCTCAATTTCATACAAAAATTCAACCGATCGGCATCCATTCTAATATACCTCTATTATGTCATTTTATCAAACATGCCCTCTATTATTTTTTACATCAAACATGCTTTTATATTTTGAAAATATGATCAAATGTACCATTTTGTTAAAATTGTTATTGAAAACATCGCCAATCATGGCTGAACCGAGATTTAGACGACCCGACATCGACAAATGGGAGAGAAAATGTCAATTTTATCCCCTGTTTTATTTATCTGGGTATCGTAAACGTGAAATTATTAGAAGTATTTGGCTATACGAAAGAACCAAAAAAATTCAAAAGGAAAATTATTAGGGATATTTTAGTCATTTGTGTCACCCTAACCAAAGTTTGGCCGTGGTTAACGGTTTTTGGATGAAAATTTTAATAGAAGGGCATGTGTTATCATATTTCAAAAGTAGAGGGGCATGTTTGATGTAAGAAATAGTAGGGAAAAAATCCCAAGTTACACATGTTTTTAAAAAAAATTCTCAAAATACACATGTTGTGAAAAAAATTCCCAATCTACGCATGTTTGGGCCTGGCAGAGCAAGGAGGTGAAAGGCTGACCTGCGTCGAAACTTTTGCGGCTTGCAAGATCTCGAAAAATTATGCGGAATAATTTTTTTTTTCCTGATATGATCGGATAACCGAGCACAAAATTACGTTTGTTTAAAGTTTCGACGCAGGTCAGGCCTTCACCGCGGCCGTGTAATGCAGTGAAGCATTCACCGCCTTCCTCTAAAACAGTGATGCAATCAGTGCCCAATAACCGCCCTCCTCTCAAGCGCTGATTCAATCACCGCCCTCCTCTCATGCGGTGATGCAATCACCGCCTTGCTCTGTCGGGGTGAATACCCAAACATGCGTAGATTGAGAATTTTTTTCATAACGTGTGTATTTTAAGAATTTTTTTTAAAACTTGTGTAACTTGGGAAATTTTCAAATAGTAGAGGGGCATGTTTAATAAAATGATATAGTAGAGGGGCAAATTATACCTATAACCCTTCTTTTTTATATCGAATTTTAAAAATTTTGCACAAAAAAATTATATGTTGTGCTCTACAAGATATCAAAATTTTGGAGCAACAATTTTTAAGTCAGCTTACTGGTGTCATATCACAATATTATCACTAACAATGGTATGATATCATAATGGTAAAATGTTGATATGATTGTGATATGATGCAGATATGTGGTCTTATATATTTGTCAAAATTATTTGATGACATCATATAAATGTCATGTCATGATATTATTTCTATGATATAGTATTTCAATCTCATATGAAAATTTAACAGACCTTAGCTCATTAGTTTTTACATCAGATTTCAAAAAATATGCACATAAAATTAGATTTTTTGTGCTTTAAAAGATAATATCCATTTTGATATTTTGAGAGCAAATTTTTTAAGTTAGTATACCACTGTCATATCACAATATTATCACTGACAGTGGTATGATATCATAGTGGTACGATGTGTATATGAGAGTGACCTGATATAAGTATGAGCTCTTATATTTGTCTAAATAATTTGATGACATCATATCATGATATAATGTTGGCATGACACTGATACGATGTTGGTATGAGGTCTTATGGTTGACAAGACATAACAAAATAGATATCATTGTATAGATTTTCATTAATGCGTTATTTCTATACAATTTTTTAAAGTGTAGTTAAAATGAAGGAGGTGGGTTATCTACCATTGTATATCATGATGATACGATAGAGATGATAATAATAATATTACAACTGATACGTGCTTTGAAGAGTAAATTTTTTGCTCAAAATATAGCAAAATGGATATCATTATGTAGATCATAATTAATACATGCATTCTATGAAAAAAAATTAAATTTCAACTTAAAATGAATGCTATCGGATCTGATTAAGAAAAATAGGAGATTAAAAAAAGTACCTTCTATATCCTCTGGATTCGTATCAGAAAACATGACAAAAAAAGTTGGGGTTGCGGAGTTACTAGTCAGCCCTCCTATTTTTTTGGTTGGGAATTTGATTCGGGTCCAAATGCACACATTTTACCCCTCATATCTTGTCCGTTTTGTTTAGTAGATCACCGTCCCTCGACCTATTTTACACTAGGTTGTGCCTGTTTTGGTACATTTCAGGTCCTAGCACGTGTGGGAAGGTCGATGATGAGTTTCAGGTCATTTGGAGGTCAAAACGAGCCAAAAAGTGGAGGGTGAGCCCTATTCACGAACTGAAGACCTAGACCGTGAAGTGACCAATCTGCAGAACAGTTTTGCAAGTTACTAGCCTTAAGTCAGTTCACGGTCTAAGACCGTGAACTGAAGCCTCCGGCCGTAAACTCGGTCTTGTCGGACAAATATAAAGACAACAGCGGGGAGAGAGAAAGGGGAGCTGGTTTTTGGAGAGGAAATAGTTTCTTTCTTTAGGGTTTCGACCCAAAACACCAAAGGGGAGTTCTAGAGATAGTGTGTGTGAACTGTGTGTGTGAGTTCTTGAGTGATCTTGGAGCTCAATTGAAGGCATTGATCAAACTTGGAAGTAAGGAATCAAGCCTAGAAGAAGAAGATCTTGGGCTCCAATTTGTAATCTCTTTCTCTTTCTAGAAACTCATCCTTTCTCTTAGGTTTAAGAACCCTAGGTTAGATTTTGTTTCATTGTTGATGTATGTGACAAATTCTATATTTGATTGATGAATTTATCTATTTGATGGATATTTGGGAAGGATTAAATGAGTTTGGATTCCTTGACATGTCAATTGAGCTTTGACCTAGGAGGGAGAAAATCCCGTTAGAGCCCCCTATTGGCGTCTTCGGGTCACTCGTATCGTATATTGTCCGGGTAATCCCGGAGGGAGTTGATTCCATTGGTCTCCTAGCAATATATGAAACCCTAGGTTGAATAGAGCTCCTACCTATCCATCACTTCGCCATTCTGGGTCCGTCCCGAGTGAGTCAATCTCATAACGATAGGATAGTGAATCGATCTAGTTAGGATAGTACTCAACATCGATCCAAAGTTTAGAAATAGGGGGATTTAACCCAAGAGAGCTCCAAACCTTGTAAATAGCTAGGTTAGTGGTTAGTCTAGGTTAGTTAGTTTAGTTTTATTAATAACTATCCTAGGTTGGCTAGATAACAAACCCTAAACTTGAATTAGGGTAAGCCTAGATCCCCGTGGTGCGATAAATTCTTATTGCTTGCTTGCCCTATCCTACACCCAGTCGGTGGTTATACTTGGCCGGCATTGGGATGTGTAGTTAGAACGAGTCAAGTTTTTGGCGCCGTTGCCAGTGAACCATTCTAGGTTATTTGAAAAATGGTTAGGTCGTTACTTTAGCCGTTTTTTTTTGTGTTTTGAGTTTTGTTTACCCATTCTTCACTTTGAAGGGTGGTTTGTGTTTGTTCGATTTTGTTTTTGCGTTTTTGTCGTTGTATGTTGAATTATGGATCCCAATGGCTTCTACAACATGTGGAGGTATCCACAATCACCAGTATAGGGGTACCCCGAAGCTTCATGGAGTGACCAAGAAGGTGGAAGCCAAGGAACCGGGTTCTATGATCAATCTCCCTCAAGAAGAAGAACAATACCAATGGGGATATGAAGAGGCTTCCCCATATAAAGAAAATTTCCCTCCACAAGTCGAGGAGAAATCCAAGTTGGAGTTGGCAATGGAAACTTCATGGGACAATCCTCAAGACCATTTGCCACTCCACACCCGGAGCCAAAGAGCCAATTGGAGATCATGGTGGAGCGGTTTTCATGAGACATCGATGAAGGGTGCTCGAACTTGGTTCTCCCCCAACCCGAAGTGAAGTCTAAGTTGGAACTTTCCATGGAGAAATTTGAAAGAACAAGATCCAACACGGATTTCCAACCCCTCCCTCCTCCCAGTATGACACTAGAAGAGAAGGTGGCACGAGCTTGTGCAAGCTATCGACTCTCATCACTGGAGAAGAAAGAGGAGGTTGAAGGAGCGATCAATTACAACCGTATTGAGCAAGACGAACTCACCCCGGAGAGCTTCCGTGGTGAGGATGAACAAGAAAGTTGCATTGACGACTCTCATCACTTTCCCCTTCCCGATAGAAAATTTGAAGACCACGTCACGAGTGTGGAGGAGCAAGAGGATCCTTTCTATGATCTTTCATGGCATCTTGTCCTCCAAACCGTTCTTGAAGACATGAATGACAAGGAGAAAGAAGAGGTTGAAGAGGGGGAAGTGAGCATTAAAAAAGAGGAAGATCTTGATTGTTCCCAATGGGAGGAAATTGAAGAAGTAGGAAGGGAGGTTGAGGAAGAAGATGAAGGAGCAAGTGGCGTCCAAGATGAGGACGAGGTCGAGGTGGATGAAGCATCCACAAGTTACAAGGGCTGCGAAATCTTTCCACCCGACCTCGACGCGCTACTTGATAAGGACCCATTTGCGGCTCTTTGCCAAGCCAAGGCCAATCCATTGGTGATCTCTCTTGGTGGATACGATGTAAATCAAGCGATGATGCATTACATGGTGTGGGGACAAAGAGAAGAAGGAAGAAGGAAAGAAGAAGAGGTATCCTTGGTGGAGCCTCAAAGCCACTCAAGTTCACGAGCCCTCAATCATGGACTCGTCCAAAGCTAGTGACTTGAGACACCACCTCACCGATGAGAGCCTCAACTTTAAGGAGGTTCTTGGGTAGACCAAAACTTGAAGAGCAATCATTTGGTTCATGACGGTAAAGAAGCGCTTGGTGGGAGGCAACCCAACCATCATCGGTGTGCATCTTTTTTCCTTTCAATAAGACGACCAATGGAAAGCTTTTGGTGGTGTTTTGCCGTCTCCACGCTCTTCCGGAGCTCACCCGCCCTCCGCTCCCAGTCACCAACTTTCACACCCTATCCGTTAACATTGTTCTACCTCCTTATTTTACGCCATTGAGGGCAATGTCAAGCTTAAGTGTGTGTGTGTGTGTGGGGGGGGGGGTAGTCTATTATGCTTGTGTGTGAATGA